TATACATACAACAAATAATAATACAAAATACAAATAAAGTTAAAGGTAGCAGAAAGAAGAAAAAACATCATATTAATATCCACCCCTTTTCTCAATAAATGAATAAATAAATTCAAACAACAATAATCTTCAAATAACAAAACAACAACAACAACTTCAACTCCTTCTCAAACAACAGTTCTTATGAATGCAAATTATACAAATTCCTATTTCCTCAACAATCTAACTTTTAACATTTTCTTAAATAAATTTATTGAACCAGCATTTTTATTATCACTTTTGAGATTATTCCACAATCTTATTCCTTGGACTGAAGTACGTCGATCCTTTAAATTAGTTCAAGTTTTGGTCAAACATCTCTAAAGTTATAATTACTTACTCTTAACAAAATTTAATTGAATATTTAGAGGTAATAAATTTTTACGAGCTTTATACATAACCTGCAAAATATTATGATCAACCAACTCATAAAATTTCAATAATTTCAATTGACAAAATAATATATTTGATGGGTGACTGTAATGCTTTCTGGTGATAATTCTTATGGCTCTTTTCTGTAAAATAAAGATGGGATTTGTAAACGTTTTACGTGTTTTCCTCCAGACGCCAATACAGTAAATCAAGTGTGGAAGAATTATTGCATTATATAACATAAACAGTGCTTTGTCATTAAATAAGTCCCTTACTTTATACAATACTGCAATGGATTTGGCTATTTTTGTTCTTAAGTGATTTATGTGAGATTWCCATGTCAGCTTTTCATCAATAATAACATCCAAAAACTTCGCCTCACCGACTCTACAAATCTCAACACCATAAACTCGAAAAGGAAAATAAACAGCTCTGTTTCTATTACCGAATATCAAATAATTAGTTTTATTCAAGTTCACTGATAATTTATTTAGTTTAAACCAAGTTTGTATTTTAACAAATTCTGTTTGCATCATCCCCATCATTCGTTCTATATCTTTTCCTAAACAGAAAAATGTAGTATCATCTGCAAATAATACTCATTTAAGAAACTCTGATAACTACAGGYATGCAAATATTACAGATCTTTACATGAAATAGGTTTAGTAGTAGGAATTGATTCTATATTCTCAGCTTCAAGTCAAGCTTGTTCCTGGTCTRGGCTGGACCAGGAACTGCCCCTGGTCTCAGATCTTGTTAGTGATGTTTATGGACAGGATCTGAAAGAGGAGAGTGTGTGGTTTGGAAACCTCAGGGTCTCAGCTTTGCTCTTTGCAGATGAYGTGGTTCTGTTGGCGTTTACAAGTCATGACCTCCGGGTCTTACTCTGGTGGTGCAGCTAAGTGCTAAGTGGCTGGGAAGAGAGTTGGTGCCTGTTGGTCTGAGGCTGTGGTTCTCAACCAGAAAAAAGTGGAACCCTCTTTCTGAGTTGGAGACRAGTTTTAGACGCACGTTGCTTTTTGTTTACGAGAGATGGCAACGGAGGACTGAYGGATCAGGTCCACTATAATTTGAGTGTGTTGCTCTGGTTTGTCGAAGCAGCTGATTGGGTCTAATCTTGGGTCTTATGAATACCTACTTCTGGAGTTTTTCCCCCCATTTTTCCCCAGAAACAAGGCTCATTCTTCTAAATAAACCATTTACTTATCTCCTGAATAATTAGAACAAAGTGGAGAAATCTGCAAATGTTTAATCACTGATTCCTCCTAATAAAACATGAACTCATCAGAATCCRTAAATTCACACAGCAGTGGGGGGATGAGGGGGGGTGGGCTGGGGGGACTGATGTACGGTGCAAAAATGACTGTATAATATGTTGGCTCAAAGCTCTGTGTTTACATATTTTCCTTGCTTTTTTTTTCTCTTTTTCCTTTGGTTCTGATCCAGTTTGGGAGAACAGAGGTGATAGACAACACACTAAACCCAGACTTTGTCAGGAAGTACATTCTGGACTACTTTTTTGAGGAGAAGCAGAACCTGCGCTTTGACGTGTGAGTTTTTTTTTTTCTGTTTGATCCTCCTCTCTGAGGACACATACCAAGGTGTGGGTTTCAAATGTGCAGTTCCTTTTCACTCCTCCAACTCTTTCCTTTTCCGTACACGGTTAACATTTTTTCTTTCTCAGAAATCTCCCATATCCCCTTTTCATATCTCTTCATCCCTTTATTTCTTTTTCTTGTCTCTCATTTGCTGTCTGTAAGTCACCCTTTCCCCCTCTTTTCTTCTTGTCACTGGCTCAGCTCTCCCGGGATATAATTTATTTGTTCGACGTCTCAGTAGTCATTAATTTAGAGAAGATTGATGTAAGCGTTATAAATATTTCATTTTGAGCCTTATCCTTATTCTCCCCATTGCAAAGACAAGAAAATGTTTAAAATGAAGTTCTATAAAGCTCACAAAGACCCWTGTCCTTCTTTTGTCCTGCTTTTTTTCCCCACTTTTGAAAAGGCTACAATATGAACGGGTCAGAGAGGTACCGCTGCATTTCAAAGTCTCCCAGAACAGATTGAGGATCACTCACTCTCGCCATTCAGGCGTTTCGTGTTGGAGAGGAGAAATCCCCCCACAGCCCCCCCCCCAACACACACACACCCCTCAAGCATGAGGTCTCTGGTGGCCCCAGCGGATGTATCGAGGACTAAGCTTCATGTCTCTTAGGATCTTTAAACTCTTAATGAATTCGCTTGACATGCTTTGATGATGCAACACTGGAATGAGAACAGAGAGAGAGAGAGAGAGAGAGAGAGAGAGAGAGAGAGAGAGAGAGAGAGAGAGAG